TATCATGGTATTTAAATGGTATTTACAAACCATTTTTCACTCACACAGTGCTGTGTAAGGTTAGACTGAGTCTCCAGAAAAAGGATTTTAAGTTCATGTAATCATGTAACCGTCGTGGCTCCATACCTGTTTGTGGGTTTCTATGTTTACTGACCTTTCACCTCATCTGTGTTTGGGTCAATGAGCCTCTCTGGACCACAGTCCATGGCACTGTGAGCATAACGCTGGACACACAGAACGCACATTCAAGATAAATACAGTCTAAATAATACAATTACAGATCACGATAATAAATGAGATTAAAACATGTAGACAGCACAGAGTTTGAAAGACTGACCGGAGGCCTGTTCACCACCCAGTACGCCCTCTCCTGGCAGTCAAACACCACGCGATCTGGCTTCTTCCTCTCTTTGCCAGCCCTGACACATGTACAAGCAGGTAAGTGGGGTATTAAGAGGAAATCATCTGAAAACCTAAAACCAAACAACAGAAGTGCCTACAAGACCCGTCACAGCATCAGGACCAATCACTGTACATTAGTGACCACGCTGCAGCAAACTGCACTTTAAGAAATCGTCTCAAAAACCAATCTGTGGTGGCAGCGGGGATTATAGTGCACGCGGCATGTGCAGCACTTCTGAGATCTATGCAGGAAGTTGGAAAATACGGTGCCGTCACATGTCTGTGGCAAACCAAAGCCCATATTACTTTGTACTTTGCATCATGGCTGTTGCTTAACCTGACCCCAAAAATGGTTTGTTACGCAGAACCATCGATGAAGTTCTCCGTGGAACTGTGGTGAAAAAGAACAGGCAGGTCGAGCTACGTTTCCCTCAACCTAAACGAATCAAACCGTCTGACGTAGAAGGAAGAAAGCAGCTGTAGGTGGAGCTTTGAAATCTAGCCAACAAGAAGGCATCTGTTTGTGTAGCAACAGCTGCTTATTACTGTCAGGAAGCAGTTTGTCACAGTGCCTGATCCAGGTGTGTCCGTCCTCCTCTCCCTCCCACTGTCTGTCTCTATCCAACAGTTTAACAGCCAGGTAAGCTGATGCCCTCGTCCCACTACCGTTTAAGGTCAAGATTGATTGTGTCAAACTTGCATTTAAAGGAAGAAAATTTTACTTCTTCAGAGATAAAAATAAAAATAAAAATATTTTAAAGAGGAAACGGCTGAAAAGGTGAGATCATAAATACCAAAAGTGAACAAGAATGAGGGCTTCAGTTTCCTAAATATAACTCACCAATCGTGTCCCTTTAAAGCAGTTCCATTGCTTTAGTATCCAAAAATCAAACGTTTTTACATCTATTACAAGCTGTGATAGTGTCACTTACTTATACTGTTCAGTTGCTTGCATCACAATGAAATCCCATTTGTGGTTCAGCCATTCATGCAGGTGATTGTAATGTGCCTGTTTGAAACACAAACACACAGCGTGGAGCAGCAAGGTGAAAATCCCTTTTAGTTTAAGAGTTTAATCAGCACTGCTGACTGCATTCGTTATAACCAGGAGATGAAAGAGCCTCTGATCGGTGAGACGCCAGAGAAACAGAAAGGTGAAGAGGAGGCGAGCATCAAAAAGGCAGAAAGAGCGCCCACAGAGTAAAAGTGTGGCACAACCGAGGCAGAAGCTATGAGGCCTGGTGACGTTTGAAAAGTTAATTGTCTTATGAATGAATACTTCATCACCATTTCATTCCTGCTGCTTCAAATAGAAAAACAGTAAAACAAGAAGAACCAAAATTGCATGTTGGTTTGTGTCAGTATCTGTGACATCAGCCTTCAACTTAAATCTTCAGCTTAAATCTGAGAAGCCTCATTGAGTCGAAGACCAGTAGACTTAATGTATTCCAGTTAATAATGGAGTAATGATCGTGCTACTCGTGCACATGTAAAAGCAGACACATTGTCATACCTGCTCATATGGTTCCAACGCGCCCTTCTTCCGGATGTTCCGCTTTGCCAGGTAAATGGCTAAAAACACAAAACCAAATAAAAACACAGTCAAAACACAAAAAGTAACTTTTATTCATCAGATTATTAGCTACAATAAAACCAGTCTTTTTATGAACAACATTATTTTCTTTATAATTTACTGGTTTAAATGTGTTTGTTTAATATAAATCCTGTTAATTTCATAGTTGTTTCTATGTCCTCCAGGTTACTGCTTTATACTGTTACTATATTAAAGGAAGCAAAGTGGTTCATTAGCAGCTTTAACATGAATGATTTCAAATGATTCGATCCTACGATGTGATAAAATTAGCCCAGTGTTTCCATGCTGCAGACAACCACTGATGTTGGCACATGGACTCAACACAGGCTTGTTTCTCCTGGGCTGCCTTTGTGGACCAGCTTTCAGCTTCTTATTTATTATTTATATTGACGCTGTTTGCTGAGTGCATCGTGGGAGGCTTTTTCAAAGCTCCGCTCCCTTTGAAAAACATCAGGATTTGTTTCTGAGTAGATCAGGCGAGAACGTTTTTACTTATCTTTGTGGAGAAAATTTAAATACAAAACTTTTGTCAATTAATTCAACCTAAATATATTTACCTAAAAACAGACAGTCAAGTTTTATTGTTAGTTTAAGTGAGTTATATCATTAATACTCCTACCAGTCGTTCTCTGTATTTATTTATTATTACTTTAAATCCAATAAACTTCATTTCACTTCCCAAACATCACTGTGTGCGTCTCCTATATGATATATTTAACTGGCATTTTTTATTGTAACAACCAACGATTTATACAGGAAAATAATGACTATTAACAAGGCTGCCCAAACTTTTGCATCCCACTGTAAATGTTTAATATGTGGTGACTGAGGTCCCGCCTGCAGGTTCCTGTAGAAACAAAGTGCAGCTAAGTTCATATCACAGGATACCCACCATAATCAGAGTCGTCTGGGACCCATCTCTGTGTTGGCCAGAAGTAAGGAGTCTGAAAATATTGAAAATGAAACCAGTTATATGTCTGCTTTCAATGTTTATTTAAAATGTTACTGAAACAACTAAATTACAGCAACAGTCTAAAGAAAGCTCGTGTCCTTCCCTTTAACTGTACGCACATTCTTTGGTTTGTTTAATGAATTGTTTAAAACAGCCCACACACAGAGACATGGCCAGCACACAATTATTTTATGTCATAAAAACATAGTGCAAGCAAATCATTTCGCAGGAGTTTATTCCCAGTCGCACAACAATGTGTGTGTCATCACACACGTGTCTGCTTCCCACTAACTGTGGATCACTTTAATGCTGGAGGCAAGTCTCTGCACCGCTGTCCCATCAGTCTGTTGTAGAAAAGGATGAAACGTTTCAGGACTTAAAAACAAAAACTCATAACGAGAATCGGGAAAGGATGGTGTGAGCTCAAGGATCTAGAAGTGATAACTAAGATAGAGACATGTAAACATGCCTGCAGCAAACACATGTATCTGCACACACCATCAAAGTGAAGCCAGTACAGTACAAAAGAGAGCTACAACATACTGTACCTCCTTCACACAAGCTTTCTTACTTTCTGACAGTGACACTCCAATGGATGCATCACAGGGCGACTTGGTTTAGTTTCTCGCCCAATGATATTTGGCATGCAGATGGGAGGATCCAGGAATCAAACCACCAACCTTTTGATCAGTAGAGACCTGCTCTACCACATGTGTCAAACTGAAGGCCCGCGGGCCACATCCGGCCCGGCGTACATTTATATCCGGCCGCGAGATAATTTTATATTTTATTATTATTTTATTACTGTTACGCATGGCCCGGCGATATGAGGCGCTAATAACAGACAGACAACAGATCCCATAATGCGGCACTGCAGCCTCCTTGCCGAACGCTAGGTACATTCCCGCTTCAATCAAGTCAAACTTCTGTTATTGTGAAGCTCGCCGCTCACAATGGTGGAGAGACAAGTTGATTCTGAAAGCAGAGCCTTTCAGCGCCAGTGGGAGGCTGAATATATGTTTACAGACATGCTGGTAAACAGTTTACCAGCAGTTTACATTGCTGTAAACAGTTTACAAAGCATATAGTTAGGGCTAGACCAGGTGACCCTGAATCCTCCCTTAGTTATGCTGCAATAGA